AAAAAAAAAAAAAAAAAAAGTCTGAGCATTTAGTTAAGTTGAAAGACTTTTACCGTGAACTTTTTTTTTTTTTTTATTAAAGAGACAGAGTCTCAGCTGCCGCCCTGGGTAGAGTGCTGTGACGTCACAGCTCAGAGCAACCTCAAATTCCTGGGCTTAAGCGATTCTCTTGCCTCAGCCTCCAAAGTAGCTGGGACTACAGGCGCCCGCCACAACGCTCAGCTATTTTTTGATTGCTGTTGTCATTGTTATTTTAGGTGGCCAGGGGCCGGGTTTGGGCCTGCTACCCGCGGTGTACATGGCCGGTGCCCTTCCCACTGAGCTAGGGACGCTGCCATTTACCGTGAACTTTTTTTTTTTTTCTTTTGCAGTTTTTGGCCGGGTCTGGGTTTGAACCCGCTAGCGCCCTATTCCTTTGAGCCATAGGCACCGCCCACCGTCAACTTTCATAGACACTCCACAGTTGACATTTGGCTACATTGGCTTCTTCACACACTTCTCTGTCCATCTGTCATCCAGAGCCACCTTTAAAAACAACAGGGCAGTATGTGAAAACTAAGGACCAAGTGCTTCAAGATTCAAGTGGGAAGAGGATAGAAAGAAGGGACTTTGAAGTGAGGTAGGTAGAAACATTTCAGAGAGGGGTGGGCCTTGAAGAATGGGTAAAATTTTGGTAGGCGAGAAGGAAAGACAAGGAAAGACGTTCTGGAGAAGGGAGCAGGTTTGAAGGTGGGCAAATTTGAACTGTGCTCTCACTGCTGGGATCAGTGTGGATGTAGTGGTTGGTTTCTGTCACTGCAGTTCGGGAGAAACAGGCAAATCCGGACTTTGGCTCCATTGTTGAGGGGTTTAGGCTTGATTCTGTAGGAAGACTTTCCTTTTTTTTTGGACAGAGTCTCATTATGTCACCCTCCCTAGAGTGCTGTAGCATCACAGCTCACAGCAACCTCAAACTCTTGGGCTTAAGTGATTTTCTTGCCTCAGCCTACTAAGTAGCTGGGACTACAGGCACCCACCACAATGCCTGGCTATTTTTTGGTTGCAGTTGACATTGTTGTTTTAGGTGGCTTGGGCCAGCCTCGCTATATGTGGCTGGTGCCATACCCACTGCGCTAGGGGCGCTGAGCCTGTAGTAAGAATTTTCTATTGGGCCTGTCTGGGTCAAAGCAGCATATGTGACTGTGTCAAGAGTTTTATGTAATCCAGTTATTCCCCACGATTCTCTGAGGGGCTGCTGCCTGCATTTTATACATGAGTAAACTAAGGTTTTGCAAGCTCAAGTGAATTGCCCAGGTGATGGATCCCTAAGGTGGGAGTGAGTAGAGCAAGATGGTGGCTCTGGAGCTGTGGTCCTTAAAGAGCGGGGCCCTGCCACTTCTCCGGGAATCTGAGCTGTTTGCCAAATTCCTAGCCACTGAACTCTGTGTGGTGTGAGTTGACTAGAGGCAGGTGAGCATTTAGAAGGCCTTAGCAATGACCCAGAGGTGATGACTTGACAGACAGGCCTCAGTTGTGGGAGGTAACAGGGTGCCTTGAAGCTTCAAGAACAGACAAGGCATTGGTGAGTCACTTTTAGCTAAGGAGCTAGGAAGGGACAGCACTGCTTTACTGAAGAAACACACGCATGACACTTACAATAAAAACAATAGATTTTAGAGAATCATCTGGCTTAAGCCCTCTTCAGAATATGCCAATAGGGGAGCCCTAACATCCTCCCCATTTTCTTGCTGTTTTAATGAGGGCATTTTGATAGAAACCTCAGAATCTCTTAGAGTTGTCATTGCAGTAGGAGTTGAAAGAAGCAGTGGATGTAAAACATTTTACTAATTTATTTTTTT